TAATAGTTGGCAAATGTTGTTTATAAACTATAAATAATTGATAATTATTTTTGGCATTTATCAGTTTCAAGTTGCCTCTTACTTCTTGAACTGAATTTCTAACAACAAATATCCGTGAATAAGATTGCTCTGTAGCGAAACTTGTTTTGGCAAACAAAATTTCGAATCATTGTTTATTTATTACAAACTAATTGTAGCAATAACTATAATTATGTAATTATTGTGCGTGAGTCGTAGAAAACTCTATTCTGATCCAAATCAAGCAACGGGCGCCTTTCTGTCTCGGCGTCGATCAGACGCGTCGAACTTGAACGTTTAATTATATGGAGCTTTTGTGTTTTTAAATACCCTACACTTAACTTAAATTTTTAAAATTTATAGCATAAGTTGACAATCAGTTAGATTATTAGAAAAAGCTGTTTAAACGGCTCTATATATGGAATGTGTTTAGGGTATTTAACTTAATCAACTAGTTTTTAATTCAATGTGATTTATTGCTCCGATTGAATTGTAATTCGATTTTTGTAATTGAACAAATTGAATGATGTGCTGTGATGATAGCTGTGATACAAATTCGTTGTGTAGATCATTTCAATTTACGGCAAAAGTTGCATGAGTTTTATCGGAGGTAGCTGCTTTATAATGCTTAGCCTATCTACTAAAAGTAATACCTGATTCATTCCAAATAAATATTGAATATTAAAATTTTACAAATATGGATTTAAAATATTGAACATCGCAAGTGACAGTCCAACAAACAGAATATTAACTCTAAAGACAATGCTGCCGTATCAATGCATAAATAAATAACGCTATAATTAATCATCAACGGAAATTAAAAGTTTGCACTTTTTCAGATGCAGCTCGGGCAATTAAATGGTTGATTGAATTAACTTGACTCGCTTGAAGTCTCATTAAAATTTATAACATATCGGATATTGTCATGCAGTGTTTCTAATGTGGTCATTGAACTGTTTGTAATACAACTCAATTATTGGCTCAAACACAATTGCAATTAATTTAGCCAATCAGTCTAAGCTCTTGCTAAACGACACAAAAAACTCAAATTTTGTTGTAATTTCAATTAGTGAATCGATTTGTTGATTTTCTCTCATTCTTTAGGCCACTTGATAATTTCCATTGAACTATTGTTATTTTATAGTTTCTGTTACCTAACATCGCACATCGACAATCGTACATTGCGGCACTCGATAATATTTTTAAATAGAGCTAAAAATAATAATGAAAAAAAAAATAAGGAAAAATATGCAGCTCATATTTCATACCAGAGGCCAACGCAATTTGCTTAAGCAGCGATCCCAGCCAAAACAATAATATTAGCCCACAAGCAATGACAGTATTGAAGGCTGCGCAATGCTCATACAGAGATTGAACAACTTTAAAATGCCTCTCATAGAGGCAAAAACATTAACGGCATCTGAAGAGATGAAGAGATGAAGTAGTTCCATTTCAAATGCGAATCCACAATTAAACAGTAAAGAAATTTATTGAGATAGGGTGATTAATGCAAACCTGATAGACGATTAGATACTATGCGTCATTAGTCCAATAAGGATGCGAGAAATGAACCCAAAAGATGAATATGATTGGAGATGAGATAGAGCGTAAGAGAGAGAGGGATGAGTCTGTAAACAAGTCTGCATCATTGAGTCATGGTGGATCGCGAGATTGATAGATGTGATATATTAAAAGCTCATAATTCATAGACACTGTGCGAATCAGCAATTAAGACGCAGCTCAGCTGTCAATAACTGTCCGCGGCTCTAACGGCACACACAAACAAGCCAATACTAATGACCGACCGCTGGGCCAGTAGAGGGCTCTACGCCTGCTGTGAGGCTGGCAGGCGATCGATCCGGTAATCCACGGCACGTGTAAGCTCTTAAGGTCTGTTTTGTTCCCAAAATAAAGAAAACAACGAGTGATCATACAAAGCTCGAGACCATAGGAAATCGTATATACAAGTAATAATAGCCATGGAAAAATTGGCAACGAAATTAACTCTCTCTTTCTCTCTCGCTCTATTTCTTTCTGTGTGATTTGACCCATATTTGACGTGTGACTCTATTTAAAAATAGATGTATGTAGGCTTTCGATTGCTAGTGACACATTTGACAATGAGCAATGAGTGAAGCCATTCAGATTATTTATATTGTATAATACTTTTTACTTTTTTAATTTCAGCGAAAGAAATAGGCAATCCAAGTCATTTAAAATATAAAAGTCAGGAAAATGTTTTAAAACCATTTAACAATATTAATACACTGTATAGAGTCTCATAAACGTAAAAAAAAACAAGTAAGAAGGCTCCAGTCGAGACTGCTCGACTAGGAGATACCCTGAACCCTCCAAACTGAWATTCTAATCATTCTGGACTTCTWTTATGCACACATACATACACATGCACGTATAAGCACGCGCTCTGCAAACTGCGCAGCTAGCAGCGGCTGCGCTTGGGCTGCACTGCAGTGTGAGAATTTATTTGTTGAATAATTTCTTTTGTAGACATACGATCCTAATAAAACTTTTAGAGCGTAATCATGTAGCTAAAATGTGTGTCCATTCCAAAGCACAAGTCTCTAGTACTTGAAATGCGTTTTTTACAAATTTGGGGCGAAGGGGGCGTGGTATCCAAAATCTGTAAATTACAAAATCTTTGTATCTACTAACTTTATATACAACGCAAATTTGAAGTCTCCAGGTCTAAAAATGTTCAAATTAAGCTGAAAAAACAATGTCGATTTTTCGATTATTCTCGATAAAAAAGTTATCGGACGAGNTTCAGTTTATTTATTATAAATATAATAATTTATTTTTCAAATGCATATATTTGTATAAATATACATATTTATATAGATAGAATGAGTGCTATTTACGAATTTTTAATCACTCTCGCCAATTAATTGCTTTGCTTATTCAACCCAAAGATAAACAAGTAAGAGTGCTTTAGTCGACTCTGCTCGACTAGGAGATCCCCTGAAGTGTGAACAGAGTTGATATTCCAATAATATTATGCAAACATAGAACAACAAATCTCATGAACACACACATACACAGGCTGTCACACACACGCAAAACCTCGAGCTCTGCTAACTGCGCGGTTGGCAACAAACAAACATAGAAACGTATTTGTTGAACAAGTCCTCTTGTTGACGGACTATCTATTCACAAACTAGATGGCCAGATGAACTACGTCGTCACCCATTCCGTTACATATATTTTTTCAAAACCATAATACCCCTACTTCCCATTCTAGACAGCTTCAGGGTATAATAATAATAATTAGTTAGAGATTGCACTATCTATTTCTCTCCTATACTATTTACTATCTATTAATTAACTGCCTTAGATTAGTATGTTGGTTATACTAAATGTTGATTCAGCTTCTAGTACACGCATTGTCATCTTTTAAAGCATCGATCAATAACCTCAACGCGGATAGAAAGAAAATCTAGGGAGACAATCGTGTCAATGACAAATTAAAAGTCTTCAAGCCAGGTTTCCTTTATTTTTATAACAGCCCAAAATGAAACAGGGAAAAATAAAGCAAAGCAAAATCAAAATAAGTTGACTTAAAAACTCCAATGCCGTAGGGCATCTGTAAAGGTCTCTATGCCAGGCTTTTGTTGCAAACTCTTTCCTATATATGCTTATTGTATTAATACTATTGTTTACTGTGGCCAGTCGGCATGCCTTGGGGTTATTATGTTTTGTGGTTATTTTTGGCATCAGCTTTCTGTGAGTTAGCCAGAGATTACCATCTCGGGCATATTGTATGAAAACGGGTGGGGAGGGGAAGATAGTTGGTGAGCGAAAATCAAATAAATTACATATATAATTTATCAGTTAGATTGAAGTCTTTTGTACTCTAAATACCCCACACCTTTCCAATCGTTTGCCGGCCAAATGTGCTGTGTGGTTCAATAAACTTGGTCAGGCGGACGCTGTCTTTTATGCCAATTCACTCTGTGCGTTTTGTAATTCTAGGCCATTATTTACTTTGGTAATTGCCGTTAAATTTGTAAGAAACTTCGATTGGTTATGGATCGTAAAAGTTACCCTAATTCCCCCTAATGGCCATTTACATTGACTAGAGATCGTGTCTTTCTGCATGCTTTCCAATTATCTATGAGTATTTATTGAGGGATCGATTTGTATTTAAATTTGATATTGGCAGACACATTAAATACGTGCCAGTATTTCGTTTAAAATTCCCCGACGTGTATTAAAATAACAACATAAAAGTGAAGGTCAAAAGCATTGTAAACGTCGTAGCTGGTTTTATTTTTAGCCCTTTTGTTTATTTATTTTTATTTTTATTTATTTTTTTTTTCTCTCTCTCTCTCTTGAGTTTGTCAACTCCCAGGCATAAATTAATGAGCTTCTTAGGCATTGCATAGGTTACAGAACAAGTTCTTTGCCTCGCGATCCGCTCCTAAATATTCTGTCTCTCGATATAAACGTTTTTATTCTTAGTATTTATGCTAAATATAAAACAATATGCAAGAAATGGAACTTTGCTAATAAGAGAAAAAACGTTAAATGAATTCAGTTCAATGCACCTTAAAATATTATTATAAGCACGTTTATTTTTAACAATTGAAGCATAAACAATGTGAAATCAAATAATTAACAATAAATTATTCAAATGTAATTTTTAAATTTTATACAATTAAAAATGCGTGAACAATGATAATCCTAATAAAGAGACACAAATGATTGCGCGTGCAAATAAAGAATACAGTGAAGACTTAATAACAATTAAAGACAATTTATAGAGGCTGCAGATAACGAGAATATAGCAATAACTGAGTTATTTTCTCTTAGCCAGAGTCTCATGAAATGCATAATTGAGAAACCAATATAAATAATGAGATCGACAGCCATAAGACGGTGTTACGCCTGCCAAACACTCGAGAACGAAGTCGAAACCGAAACGAGATTCACTTAAAAAATTTAAAACTAAAAACAAAAACAAATCAATATATATATATATAGTAATTCCACTACAAAATAACGGAGCGAACCGCACAAATCTCGACACATCGAAGGCAACTCAACTGGACGAGCTGTCGCAGAATGTCCTGCAACATTGTGCGGCAGCCACAAAGTCTAAAACAGAAACGGAAACAGAAACGAAAGCTTCGCGAGCTGGTGCTGCTGGTGGCGCTGCTGCTGCTGGTGCCGGTGCCCAGCCAGAGAGCTGGACCAGCTCCAGTCTACGCCTGGTTCTACGATGTGGAGAGTGCACCGCATGCGAGCGTGGCCAGCATCAGCAGCATATCGGATGTGCACAGCTTTAAGGTGCCCGAGACGCGCAACTCGTACAAGTCGCAGCGAACACAGCTGGTGCAGCAGTTCCCGAGCAGCGTCAATCCTCATTGGGGTCAGCAGCATGCCGGGCCGGTGCAGCGGCGCCAGCTGGTATTCGTGGCTCTGCTGCCGTCGGTGGAGTCCGATAACAAGAACGACTGCATCATGCCGAAGGTGCTGCCCGTGCTGGAGCTGGCCATTGGGCATGTGCAACGCATGGGCTTTGTCGGGGGCGTACAGATTGACATTACATTGATCTCGCGCGACACATTCTGCTCCTCCACCTACGGGCCGCTGGGATTCTTTGAGATCTACACGCAATGGCCGGAGATGAATGCCATCTTCGGTTTGCCCTGCGAGTACGTGCTGGCGCCCATCTCCCGTTACGCGGATGTCTGGCAGATTCCGTTGCTCACGACCGGCGGCAATGCCGGCGAGTTCAGCAAGAAGACGGAGAGCTACTCGACACTGACCCGGCTAAAGGGCGCCCAGGTCAACAATCTGGGCAACATGGTCCGCGCCCTAATTAACACCTACAATTGGACACGCACCGCGCTGATCTATCAGAACGAGAACGCCAAAATCAAGGGCAACTCGGTCTGCTTCCTCTGCCTGGCGGCCATCCATGCCACCATCGAGAAGGAGTCAGTTTACCAGCTCGGCTTCGACACCGCGCACTGGACCAAGGCATATATCATACGTCTGCTCCGCAATGTCGCCATGCGTACAAGAAGTAAGTGAAATGTGCTAAGCCATTGATGCTATATAGAGCTCGACGTTTCTTCAAGGATTTATGAAATTCGTTAAAATTCAAGAGAGGAGTGATTTAAAAACTAGGTTCTTATTTATTTACCATGTTATTCGCATTGAAATTTATTTCCATTTTGTTGAAAACTTACATAACTGATATCCTATCGTTTTCTTCCGTTTGAAATTCATTTTATATTTAAATATTCATTTATATTTAAAATATATATTTGAGGATGTAAATTAAAATTTGTTATTAGACTTTAAAATTATTCTTCTAATTATTAAAAAAGCGCTTAAACTTATAAATATTTTATTCATTCGTTTGAAATATACAAATCACTCAAATTTTTTAATTTACTTTGATTCATTTATCAAGTATACAAATGCGTTTCGGAATTAAACTGTTATGCAGCGAATATTTATGAAGCCTCTCAGTCACTATGTTTACAAACAGAAACCTGTTTACAATTACAATTTATCTCTTTCTTTTTCTTTTTTTTTTTCTTTTTTTTTTTTTTTTTTTTTTTGAGAAGCATCTCCTTTGTGAGTTCATTACTTGTTCATTAGTCATTTTCAAATGACTTATATAGATCATAATTATTGCGAACTAGATTAAATATAATTAAAAAGTATGAAAGTAGCGGTCGGGTATTACCTCCAATATAATACTCATTCACGGCTTAAATGCTGGGCATTTCAGCATTTTCTCCGTTCGATCTATTTTTTTAAAGTTCGAATATTCGAAATCAGCAGTAATTCTAGATTTCTGGAGTTCCTAGAATTTATGATTTTTATGTAATTTTTGTTTGTTTATGGTATCACATTTGAGTGCTGCAATGCAAACTTACCCTTCCTATGAAAAAATTTCAATAATCCTACTAGAATATTTTTCGCTAGTTTTTGTCTAATATTTTAGATATCAATATATATATTTATATTTATTTTGGCATATTTACAGATTATTAGGGTTTATTGATCCGCAATTTCGTTTACGTTACAGCTTATTGAATATTATTTACAATTCAAACAAACAATAACAAATGCCAAGCATATGTCACGGCAGACAACGCCACGCCGCAACGCAAATCGAATTCAGAAAGATGCTAAATAAAATTCCGATATTGTTTTAGAATAAGAAGGAACTGCTGTGAATGAATGGCTGCTGAGCTGAGCCCAAGCCACAGCTATAAGTGTTTCATATTTACTTCGAGTACAAATATGGCCAGCTGTATCAATAGTTCTTAATGTTGAACGAAAAGCGAAACTTAAGTTCAGCTTAAATATGAACCGGAGTACAAAAATGCCCACAATATGTCAGAGTTTAATATTTTCACGACATTTAACTAACCACATACCATTAAATTCACATTAACAGCAATTTTTGGCAAATTAAATGTACACATTGATGCATAATTATGGCCAACAACAAAGTACAATAGCCAAACGTACTCGCCGCCTATAAACGAGACATTCGGGCGCACTTTGAGAAGCCGCCAAACAATAGATTCCACAATTGAATAATGCTATAAATAGATTTAGAGTTCAAGGGCAGCCAAATGAAATGCTTATAATAATTATTACTTTTTATACTCAGACCTCAATTTGAAATATTGCAGACTCGATTAACTTTTCAATTATTCGAGTATTACTTATTCTACAAGGCATTTTCGAATCAAATTTTACACGCTAAACCATATTTAAATGAGGAACCGGGTAATTTGTATTTAACACGCTTGACCCAAGTTTTGAACTTGTTATTTTTAACACGAATGCAAATCAAATTTATAATTTAATTT